ATTCATTTTAATAATTAATTTTCAAAGTCACCTTGTACATAAATTTTATGAAGGCACAGACTGTACATGCTTTCATGATCTTCCTCTATAACTAAAGCCTTTTTTATATTTTTAAAATATTATTTTCTTTTTAAAAATTTTATTTTCTTTTATAATATTTATAATAGTGTATGTATGTATGCACGTATGTACATATCTACATATTAATTTGTTTTTCGAAAAAATATTTTTAGTGGGGGCGATCTGACTCATCTAGACTGTCAAAATTTTTAATCCAGGAATTCATTATGCTTTAATATATTTAATTTTTAAGTATATGATATATGTATGTAAATGTGTAAATGCGTATACTTTAGTATATAGACACTATTAGCTTTCCCGTGAGATGTAAGTATGTGCATACTTAATATATACATAAAATTATTTTAATAATGTTTACATTTTATTGGGTTTCTTATTTTAAATATGTAAGTATATAAGTATGTATATGTTTTAATGTATATTTTCACACATATGTTTGCAATAAATATTCCAAAAAATATATTGTTATCTATCATACCATAAAATTTGTATGTATTTATGTATATGCGTATATATTGTATGTATATATGTATGTTGCCGAATTATAATTCATAAATTTTAATAATTTTTTGGTAGTTTATTTCGCACATGTTTTGATCTGAATTATTTATTGGTCATTATAGCAATTTTCTTTATTATTTATTATTAATTTATGTATGTACGTATGTATCGTAATTTAGTTTATAATTGTAGAATGATAATTATAATTTTTGTTTTGTATGTACATAAATTTTTAGTTTCTAAATTTCTAATACTCGTATTAATTTAAATATCTAAAACTAAATCAGAATATTGGTCAGGTTTATATTAAACCTAAAATACAATGATCGATTTTTTTTATTAAAATTTTTAAAATAAGTAATGGGGTATCTTCTGAATATCGAATCACTAAGTGACAATGATATTTATCGTAAAAATTTCAAAAACTTTATTAAAGGCACGAATAATTTGTATGATTTGGTTTGTGTTTTACAAGAAAAAAAATATCGCATTTTTTGCAATATAATTATCACTATCACTTAGTGTTCCGATACTCAAAATTAACATCAACATTCAATTCAAAAAAAGTAATATAAAAAAAATTGAAAATTTGGTTCTAAAATTTTTTTTTTCTAAAAATATTAGAAATTTTCCTTTACAAAATAGTTTTATACAATAAATATTTATTAAGTATAAGCAAAAATTGAAAATTTATAAGAAAAATATTTTTATATTACAAACGATATTATATATCGGACAATCGCTTAGTACAAGCATTTAGTATAGCAAAATAAACGTTAATTTTTCAACAAACTTGATTATCAGTTACTATAATTAAAATCGTCATCATTAGAAAGGGATGGGAAAGGACTATAACATTAGTAGCATTCATTTAATATTAATACGCGAAACGTTGTAAATTGAAAACTAACCAACTAAAACCAAACTTATACAACTACTGCAACCGGGAGTTAATAGTATAATGAAATAAAATGTCACGTAAACTAAGAATAAATTAAATAAAATTAGTGCTGTCGCAGAGACTGACCTTAAGCGCATTTCTTGGCTCAAGCATTCCATTCAGCGACCTTAAGCTACCGGGATTCTCGTTTGAAGAAATTCGACCCAATAAAACTCGAACAAATACGCTACCCACAACAAGTTAATGAATGAAAATTATATGTTTCACAAACCAGACTACGACAACGAAGCAAACTTAAGTCCAAAGGATGAAGCCTACTTTCCATAAGAGGGCAATCTAAACAGATCCAACCAATATATGTATATCCCGAAGAGAAAAACGAATGAAAAATGCGATTTATTACAAAATTACGAAAATCGCACCAGACCTGAAATGCGTACTTGAAAACAGGCCTCACGAAAGCAACAAAAAGACATTTGGCTATCGAATTAAGATGAGCTTTAAAGGCCAGCGTACCATCCAACGTAACTCTCAGGTCACAAATTCGTTCAACCTTCTATAAAATCTACCCATCAAGCATTAAGTATCTTATAGTCAAATTTTTAAGGAATGAAATCAAATTTTCTAAATTTAGAAATATGAATTCCAAAAAGTCAAGACACACAAGGAAAAAGTTTTCATTCAAAAATTTTTTTTCGTTTATTCATTTTAATAACGCAAAAATTTTAAAACTTTTTTTATGGTCGGTTTTTTTATTAATTTTATTTTAGAATACTTATAAGTTCACCGAACCATTTTCAAAAGTATTTTAAGTTATTTTAAATGCATTTAATCAATTTGAACTTATAATATTGTTTATTATTTCAACAGACAATCATTTATAATGGGTTTATTTAAGAAAATTATTTAAAAACAAAGAGATTTTTTTTAAGTGGGCCAATGAATTTTACCAAATTAAATTTTCATAATTTTTACAACCAGAAATGTGACATTTCTCAATCAACACAGATATTTTTTGTAATCTATATACATATGTACATAAATAGATAAGACCGATTTATATATGTATGTATTTCAATTTATTATTTAGTTGCAAAAGTGTAATAAGAGTGTTGTAAATTTTACTTTTAAGTCGAAGGATTTAATATTATTAAAAAAATTATAGAGTATCTATTTAGCATTCAAGTCTTCAATTTTTAGGTCTGAATAATAATGAACACGACATTTTATTGAAAATATAATTTTTATACAACAATGGAATCTTGCATACGCTTAGGATGAATAATTTATAGTAGCATATAAGATTAAGGCATAAAATTATACTTTTCTATAACAGTACTGCTACATTTTTTATTTTGTAGAAGTCACAGAGTTTACAATTATTTTATTTACATGCTAGTTTCAATCACTTGAAGCCTATTTTATGTTCACAAAAATTTTACTTGACTTGAGCTTCACTGCATAAATACAATCAAAAAATTTTGCTTACTTGACTTAAAATTTTAATAATGACTGAAAATGTAATAGCTTAACGTCATTTTCGGGCTTTCAAGTTGGCATAGTAAAAACGTAATTTGAGTTTTGAGATGACTTCAAGTCAAATACTCAAGCTGCTATATAAACTAGTTAAATGTCAAAAAAGTAAATCAGGAATGGATGTTATACACAAATTTTACAGAATAATAAGAAAAGAAGTAAAAGTAAATACAAACGAAATTTGTACATAGCTACATAATAATAGGTCTGGTATAAAACTTGAAAAAACTTTTAAAAGAGAAAACAGCAACGTTTTCATTTTGAAAAAAAATTTTCATTTTGAAAAAAATAAACCAGACGGAAAAGTTGAAAAAACTTTTAAAAACTTTATAAATAGGTGAGAAACGCCAAATTTCAAGATATTTATCAAGCATAAACAAATGTTTTTTGGTTATACAAAAAACCGAAAATTTTAATTTTGGATTATAAATGTGTGAAACTTAAAAAAGGATTTATGAATCCAATTTGTTTATTTTACTTTATTTTTAATTAGAGAGTTTCGAAAAATTATTGTTGGTAAAATTTTTTTGAAATATGTAACTAGAAAAACATACGTTTTGACACCTTTATGATTTTAAAAGTTTTCAGAACACTAAATTTTAATTTACAAAATTTGCAAAAACCTTAAACATTGAGAAAATGATAACGTCATCAAAAAGTATTATAGTGGACTCTTCACAAGGGAAACTTTAGAGTTTTTCCAAGTTTTATTAAGTTTTAACAAACTCTAATAACAGACGTAAAGTGTGGATATTTATAGCTAATTAAAATTTGAAACTGACCAGATTTGTTTTGTAGAAAGGGTTCATTACGCTATTTAAGAAACTGTAATAATACTGAAGAAAATTAATAGGTTTATAAACACTTTCTTGTCCATCAAGGCGACTGGAATGAATGGTGTTATCCTAGATGTGCTACCTAGCCCAATGGAACTAATGCTTTTAAAAATCCCATAGATTTTAAAAATTTGTAGAAATTGTTTAATACTATGTTACGATGCTTATACCCAATATCAGCAGTAGTGGTATTTCTTCATTGTTTAGGCTTCTGGTAATGAATGATGTTATGCTTAGACAGGACAAAAGAAGCATAGTATATTTCGATGATCTTTCGGTCGTATTTTCTTTCAAAAATAATGTAAATCATTGAAACAAATAGAATGTTTACATTGACAACATAATGTAAACATTCTATTTTTATGAAGTGAATTTCATTTTTATCATAATTTTCTTTCTTTGAAAAGCTTCTGAACTTTCGCGTCAACGCTGTCAAACAACATGTGCTAAAATTAATACAACTTGTAAAAACATAAAGTAATTTTTGATGAAAAAAAGCACGTTCACGAGACTACGCTTAATATTTTTTTATAAATATCTTTGAAATTTAATTCTATCACATGAAACTTTTTATATTAGCAACCGGTGGCAACGACTCACTTTTTGTGCTGTCCGTACTTCTTTCTAGTAAGCTTGAAATGAACGAAAGCGATTGCGTATGGTTGTGTTTTTTTTAAATTAATTAAAAACTAAAATTCGATGCCAGACAGTTGGTGAGCCTGCTTAATTGTCATTTTTTGATTTTTACTGAATGTTGGCTACCATATGACATATTTCTTTTCAACATGGCTACGTCAGGTTGGTCTATTTTAGATTATATAGATTAAATAAATTAAAAATTTGAAATTTTTAAAAATATAAAAATTATAAGTAGCTCTTTATAGTGCAAATTAATTCTATTTAAAGTTAGAAAACGAAATAAATTTTTATTCGACTTATTATTGGTAGAGAAAATAAATTTAAAAGTAGTGTTTTGACGTGTTGGCTGAGGCCTATGTAGAAAGTGGGTTTTTTTTTACCGCGTGGCTATTAAAAAAATAGGCTTTAATAGATTTTTTAATTTAGTTTGTTTAAAATTTAGTAAGTTTATCCTTAGATTGAAGAAATTAATTTTGATCATTTGGCATTCCAATAAAGGATAACTAGTTTTGCAATTTTCAATGAGTCATCATAGTAATGATTATGACAAAAAATAACTTAAAAAGAAAAGCAAAAATGGATAAAAAATACTTTTTTGTTTATTTCAAGGTAAGAAAGGTAAAAAAACTAAAGGGAAAGTTATTTCTCTGCAATCATTTTTGAGCAATGGTGAAGCAACTCCGGGAGTGACACAAGTCACAAAAATTGTTAAACCCCGATTTGAAGAAAGTGATGAAGAAGATACAACGCTTCAAGTTTTGCAACTGCCAACTGCTCCGAGAGCAAGTCGCATATTTGATGACGACTCAGTGCCAACAAAGCCTCCATTTATTGCCCATATATCGAATTTGCCTTTTGATATTAAAGAGGATGATCTTTATGATTTTTTCCCAATTCCAATTATATCGCTACGTCTGCCTAGGGAAGATGGTGAAAATGGTCGCCTTAGAGGTTTCGGTTATATTGAATTTGAAACAAGGGATGATTTAATACAAGCTATTAGCTTACCCGATCCACACATTAGGAATCGTAGAATTCGTATAGAAGTTTCGAATGAAAACGAACAACAGCAAGGAAATAGAAGGGAACGAAATAATAGGAATCGTTTTGATGGATTTGGTGGCTCAAATGAAACTCGCGAAGCATCTGATTGGAGGCGGGATAACAAACAACAAAGTGATGACAGAAACGATAATAGAAGAACTGGCGGTTATGGGTAAGTTTACAAAATACGATTTCATTCTTCAATAAATAATATTTTATTTTACAGAAGATATAGAGATCGTCAGAATGTAGAATCTCGAGATGGTTCAACAGATTGGAGATCTAGAGATGGGCCGAAATCAGAAAACTCACCACGGAGGGATGGCAGAGATGGGGACCGATATAATAATCGGCGTGATCGCGATGACTACCGAAATAGAAGGAACAACAATGAAGACGAGCCACAACAAGAAAGACCAAAACTAAATTTAAAACCACGTACACTACCTTTACCGGAGATAGTTACAAAACCAATTGAAGACGATGAACCAAAACGTGAAGACAGTCCAGAACCGGTACAGCAACCGCCTAAACCGCGGGGTGTTGGTGGTGAAAAAATTTTCGGTTCTGCTAAACCAGTTGACACTGCTGCCCGCGAAAAGGAGATAGAAGAAAGAATGGAGCGGGAACGTCTAGAAAAAGTAAAACAACTTGAAGAAGAAAAGGAAAAGAAAGATGAAGAAAATAGTAAAAAGGAAAATGATGATGAACTACAACAAGAAAGCGAGGAAACAGAAAAAGAAACCCTAGTGGAGAAAGACGCTAAAGAAAATAAAGAAAATAAAGTTATTGTAAGCAGTTGGCGTGTTCGTGACGAAAGTAAACAAGAAGAAAGCAACAGAAGATACAGTCCACCTCCACCACCTAGAAGAAATGGTAATTTTAAATTAAATAATTTCTTTTATAAGCTTCTACTATTATATTTTTAGATGATAGAAGAGGAGGTGGAAGAGACATGAGAGACAATAGAGATCGTGATGGAAGAGACAACAGAGATCGGGATGGTAGAGATAATAGAGATCGAGATGGAAGAGATAATAGAGATCGAGATAACAGAGACAACCGAGATCGTGATATGAGGGATAATCGAGATCAAAGACGTGTTGGTGGTAATCGTGGTTATGATAGAGATAACCGAGATCATAGAGATAATCGAGATCAAAGAGAAAATCGTATGAACAGAGATAATCGTAATGATAGGTAGACTAAACCACTATTTGAATCAAGATATTTTTATTTTTTAAATAAGAAAATATTTTAACATTTGCAAATTACAGGAACGATCGTGACAATTACAATAGGGATAGGGGTTATAGCAATAAAGATAGCGGAAGGAACAATCGCGATAATCGAGATAATCGTGACAATCGCGACAACCGCGATAATCGCGATAACCGTGATAATCGCGATAATCGTGACAACCGCGATAACAGACAACATCGCGACGAAAAACATAAAAGAGAACACAGATCAGAAAGACCAATGCCACAATTTAAACAAACAGTAGGTCCAGTAAGTATTTTCTGTTTTTATTTTTTTTTTATAACAAAAACAAATAATGTTTTGATAACAAAAAAATCTAGTAATTTTTTTCAATTTGTTATTTATTCGCTTGAAACATTAAAAAGTTTAAATGCAATATCTTCCATTTTGTTTCTAATTTTGAAAATAAAAAAATTAAGCTTTGTACCAGGTTAAATTATTTTTTGACCTATGACAATAATTTTTTCTTGTACATATACTAGATTATCTGTACTTACTGCAGTACTGTATATTAATATTAATAAAATTGTATATTACATACAGTAATTTATTTTCGTTTTTTCATATTTTTTTCAATAAATGTAAAATTTATTGAGAAAATTATGAAAAAACGATGTTGACATAATTGAGCATAGAGCCTAGGGCATGAAATTTAAATTTTAATAATGCATTTTTATTTTATTATCTCTTACACCTCTTGTAGAAAAAAATACAATACAATTCGTGTAATTCTTTAAATATTTATCAATATTAAAGACTTCACAGAATTTTTTAACTTTTTTACTATACATACATATTATTTACGTATACGTTATTATGCAGTGAATCATACACAAAATTTTATATGAATTAGTTCAATTAAATAAACCTCTTAACTATTTTCAAATACATTAATATCAAAAATTTTTATTTTTTCAATAATTAATCTAGGTTGTTCAATCAGTCAATAAATTTAATGGGTTAGATGAAGAGGATGGTTCAGAGTAAGGCAATAGAAAAATATTTGCAGAGGAAACAAAATAAGTAAAAAACATTTTAAAAAATCCGGTTAAAAAAATATAAATAATAAAACAAAAAAAAAAAGAAAAATAAAATAAAAAAATATTAAATACTGAAAACAAAAAATTTTTATTTTAAAATTAAAAGAAAAAAAAAACGCAAAAGCAAACACTTAAATTTAAAATTATAAAATTAATATTAAATATATATATATTTAAATATATATTTTGAGTATTAACTTTACTTTGTAAAATCATTGTACGTTTCATAAACACATACATAACTTTTAAAATATTTTTACCAATCAAAATTTAATTACACTACCGTATTAGCTAATATTGCATTACCATTATTATAAAATTGGAAAAAATTAATTGGAAAAGACCAATTAAAATAATTTTAAGAAAAATATTTATATATATTATAAACAAGAAAATGGTCGATAAAATGCGGTTTTTGCAGCTGATTCTAATTTTGTTATCATATCGATTTTTTATATATTAAAATTTTCTTTGGTTAAAATTATCGAATCTTGTTCTAAACCAAGAAAGTAAACAAATTGTAAACATATATGTATATAATTAGTCAATTTTTGAAAAACAGAACTAGAATCAGCTGCTAGTTGAACAAAATATTATTTTTAATACAATTTCACTATTACAGTAAAAAAAAGCATACGGTAATAATTTTTAATCGTATTTTGAAAATTTACAACGATTTTACGAAATATAATAAATACTCTACAATTATTCTTAATGCAATTACTATTTACTATTATTATTATTAGTTTTGTGTTAAATTTTTTTTTTATTTGGCCCTAATACATTTTTTTTTTAAATTTATTATTTTCTATTTTCAATATTACAATTTAATTTTTTTTTAGTAGTGATTCTCTTAAATTAAAAAAAATAATGGAAAAAATATTGTTTATCGTTATTCACTTTTTATATAAATACATAAAAATATTTTTTTTTTTGTAAGTCATATTTATTAGTATAAATTATTAAAATGAGAAAAGTCAACAAAATTTAAAACAAATAAAAAGTTTATTAAATTAATTTATAAAAAAAATTGTGAATATTGTTTTGCATAAATAAAATAATGTAAGAGAAACACGTTACGGAAAGAAATAAACAAAATAAAATATTCATAGAAACAAATCATTGTAGAAATAGAAAAATTTAATGAATTTAAAATAGGTAATGGAATTTGAAATGAAATATACATAATTATGCACCCCAAAAAAAAATAAAATAGAAAATAAATAAAAAGTTAATTTAGAATATAAGAAATAAAAAAAAATAATAGCAAATCTAAATATTAAGAAGTAAGAAAAAGAAAATGTTAAAAGTTCAGAGAAAGGAAAAAGATGGAATAAATACTTTTTTAAACTTATTCAGTTCAATATAAAAGTAACTATTTTCAATTTTTTAGCATATTTATTGAATATAATATACACTTGTGTTCTTATAAATTTTAAAAAATTGTATCAAAATATCTTAAAAGAATTGCCATTATAAAAATATCTTATACACATTTAACGCCGTTTATTTCTCATTTTTGTATTAAAAAAAGAAAAAAATAAATAAATAACTAATATACTTTGATGTTAAATATAATAAGGTAGAAAAAAAGACAATATACAATATTTTCCATAGAGATTTCGTTCTTTAAAAATCTACATAAATAAAAGTTCTTTAATCACATATTTTTACCATAAAATCTTCAAAGGAAAAAAATTTATTAAAAATTGCTTTATTTAATTTATATAAAAATTTCATGGGATAAATTATTTGTATAATCCATACATGAATTTGATATTAGATTAAATTCTTAGCATGATTTTTTTTAATGAATGTAAATATTTGAAGTATGTACACATCCACATATTTTAGGATACACTTGAACTGATGGGATATAATTCAAAAATATTGTAGTTTTCAAAAGAAAAATCATTTTTTAAAATTTAAGATTTAGCAATGAAAACATTAATATTTTTGGCTAAAATCCCATCAATTCAAATGAAATATCTTAGAAAATATAGTTGATAGTAAAAATTATGGTTAGTAGTTTAACAAGAAATAGAAATTTGATTTTTATGTTAAGAGTTTTTATTTTTTTTTTGAAGTATCAAAACGAAATTCCGGTTGTTGTGTTAATTTTTGGTAATTAATCTATTTTATTTTTTGTAATAAGGAAATAATTATTTCCGATTAATACAAATTGTGCAGAGCAAGAGAATATGTAATAAAGAATTTTTAAATTTTCACTATTAATTTTAATTATAATAATATTTGCCCCTCGAACATTTTTCTTTTACATACATATTACATATTATAGTATATAAGAAGAAAAAATAAAAATTTTACTTGATTTAAACTTATAGAACAGTTTTCAAAAACAAGTTCTTTTCAAAAATATTAAAATTTGAAAAAGCTGCATCTTCTTTAAAAATACAAGATAGCCCAGCCCTACTTTTTTTTTATTTACTTTGAGAATCACTTTAGAAATTTCTGGTAAATATTTTTGGGACTGTTTTTTAAAACCAAATTATAAGACTGCTTTGATCTTTCATTTAAGACTTAAAAAGCACATTTAGTAAATTTGATACTAAATCTAAACTGCACAATTATAAACAATTCTTTATTTTATTTATTGGTTTCTTTTTCAATTTCACTAAAAAAAAGGCAATTTTAAATTTTTAAATGTAGATTTAAAATATATTTTTAAACTTGCGATGTAATTTTGTAAGCTTTTCTCTTAACAAAAAAAAAAAATATATAATTACAAATATTAGAAGTGAATGGAGAGTAAAATAATAAAATGAAATTCAATAGAATTGTTGAAACAATGTAGCTGAATTTAAAAAATATGTAAGAATTCTTTTATGTTCGTATTGTAATGTAATGATTACATTACACTACCTACTTTATTTTTGTAATATAATTTTTAAAAATAATTATTCTCGCCTATTTTATTATTATTATTATATATTTTCTTTAATTTAGGGTTGATAAAATTTCGATAGTCATCTGAAATATAGCTTATACTTTACAATATAAAAAATTTCTTATTATAAGATTCATATTTAAAAAAAAAAAAATAATTTTTATATCAAAAACAATTGGGTTGCATCGTTATTTAAATTTTTAAAATATTTTTTATTTGGTCAAATATTTTTTAACATAGCTAAATACTTTTTTGTAAATTTAAACTCTTTATGACATAAAAACAAAAAGAAATAAATATGTTTTTTGTTATGTTTGTTTTTAATATCAAAAAATTCATGTTAAATTCTATTATATTTCCGTTTAATATTTAAAAATTACTACATATATATATATATATTTTTTTTGTAAATTTATATCATTACTATTTATGTATTTAAATAATTTTCACATTATTTTAAATAATGTAAAAATTTAAAATTCATTTTGTTTTCAAATTTTCAATACAACTGAAGAATATTTATTTTGCAAATAGATATATGTATAAAAAACTTTTGTTTAAATAATATTATAAAATTTAATAACCATTTATAAAGAAAACTTTCTAAAAACATATACATACATACCTTTTTGATGTTATAAATTTTAATTTAAAAATGAAAAATGTTTTAAATTTAAGAAGGTTTCGATATATTTTGAAACGAAAAAAAAAAAATAAATAAATTAATCGTAATTGTAATTCTGTAAAAGAAAATATTACTTTTTTTCTTGCTCAGCCTTTAATATATTTTGGCACGAGAATGAAATAATAATGATAACAAGAATAATAAAAATAAATTTTGTAATATGTTATAACTTGATTTTAATTTTTAAGGCACTAGAATATATTATAATTTGAGTATGTAATTTATAGGAACCAAAATATGAAAAAAAAAGTACTGAATTAATGAAAATTAATATCAATTTCATACCAGGAATGGACCCTTATTATAATCAATCAATTATAATTCTGAACAAATTATTTTATTATTTTTATTTATATTGAAAAAACTAATTAAGAAATATGAAAAAAAAATAATTTGTTTTTCTAGCTATTTTGCTTATAGAAATCAAATAAACTAAATTGTATTGCATTACAAGTTTTAAAAAAAAAGCAATTTATTGAAATTAAATTTCTTTTTTATAAAATTTTTAATAAAGGTTTAATTTTTAAAATTGTATTTAATTTTTTTTCTTACTTAATAGAAGGGTCCTCAGTAGATTTAATTTTTTTACGAATTCTTCCTGTAAATATTTTTTAAATCATAAAAATTTTTCATTCTATGCAGTTTTAGTAATATAAATATATACATTTCATATCATTCATTTTTTAGATAGAATTAGATTTTAAAATAAAAAGGAAAATTTCACACCTAATAATAGAGTTAATACTTTAGCAATATTATTGAAATCAAAAATTTATACTTTTACTTTTATATTCTGATAATTCTAGATAATATTTTATCATAATTCTTTTAATTTGCAAACCCAAAAAAACAACCATACAGTTGACCAAACAATTGGTCTAAATTTCTAATTCAATGATTTTAATTAAACTATTTAATATTTAATTATTATATTATTAAATTTCAAATAGTTTAATATCTTTTAGTATTTGAAGAACTATTTATGCTTTTAATAAAGCATTTCAATGTCCGAAAATAAACGAAAAAATTCTTTCGAAATCGAACTTTTTTCTTTTAAAATCTTCTTTACTTTGTAATAAAAAATTATTTAATTGAGAATTATCAGATTTATTCAGATACCTTACAATATTATTGTCTCAAAGTCAGTTATAAAGTTATTAATTAACAAAATCTATTAATAAAAAACATTTCAAAATACATAAATGAATAGTAGAATTAAATGACCAAAGTTAAAAAATTAAAAAAATTTTAAATAAACTTAAAGTGCTTTTTTAATTGCAAAAAAAACAAAAAGATGCAATAGAAACAACAAACAAAATAAACAAAATCAATGAAAAAAATAATAATTTTATTAAGTGTAATAATAAAAATCTTGATGAAAATGAAAAAACGTTCATAAAAATTAAAAATATTATTCGATTTTTTTTTTTAGAGAACTATTTTGACAGTCACTTCATAAATAACTTAAAATCTTTACGCTGTAAAATACAAACTTTTTAAAATTCTGGAATTTTCGATAATTCAGATATGTATTTGATGCTCTAACTTAAATTTTAATTTTTTTTTTGTGTCATTACAGATCTACAGGGACTGATTAGTTTACTTTTTCAGATTTTTAATATTTTACATTTCTCTATGTGATTTTGTTCAAGCTTAAAATACTTTTGCAGCATTAAAAAAAATTTTTATGATTTTGTAGATTTGATTTATCGAATATGCTTTATATTAAGATTCAAGTTAGAACTGAATTTTCGAAAATTCCCTGTTATACATATTGCATTCAATTTTTCTAAATTTATTATATTGTATTTACCAAAAACAAAATTATTTGACTTATTATTTTTGCCATAAACAACTGTTTTTAACTAGACTTTATTTGTTAAAATTCTTAAATTCATCTTAAATCTAGCTCTTGAGATTTCAACTTAGAACTTATGTTTTTGGAAAACGGAGTATTCTGCAGAATATATTAAATAGCATTCTTTTGAAAAAATACCTTGTATCTATAGAATTTCGATTGTTTACGCACACTTTCTTTATATGAAAAGTAAAACTAAAATAAAAATTTACTAAAAATTGAAAAATATAAATTTTATACAAAAAAAATAATAAAATATATATAATAAATTATTATTTTAGAAAAG